GTCTGCACAATTTAGGGCCCTGCTTGACACGAGTATTGCGGCGAGACCTTCATGACCTTTGTGGGGGAAGACAAGCATGCTGGTGTGCTCATTGTAATAATCTTTTACTATAAACAAAATCCCCATTGGGAGTAAAAGGGGACTCAAATGTAGCAGAATTGATCTAAACACAGTAAAATCTTTTGAAATGACGCAGACGCTTCATCCTGCATTAGTGTTTTGTGTCTTTAATTTAAATCTTACATCCGTACCTTCTTCCCTGCAGAGCCTAAATGAAATGAAACAATTGCCCCTCGGGGATGATTAAAGTTTTTTTTTTAATTTAATGAAAACACTCGTTCTGAAATCGTGTCCATTTTTATACGTAATTCCTAATTTAGTTCATCATTTAAAAAGAAGCCATGCAGATAAAAGTCTCTCCAACACATTTTAGTAAGACATTGACAAACACTCCCTTTTTGCCCTGATCCTAATCTCTAACATTCATCTTTTAAATTAGACTTTTATGCAATATTTAGATACGGAGGTTGAGGTGCCAAGTCTTCATTTGCTATTAAAACACACAAAAAAGTGTTGACACTGTCTGACATAACCTCCATCCACATCTGTCTTTCCTCGCTTTAATGACTCAGATAACAGCTCTTATTCAGCCACAGCAGACACGCCGCTGTGCACTTGCCCCACCTTTGTGGAGCTGCTCCTTCAGAATCTGGTCGTCTTTCATTTCTTCAGACGGGGCGGCTCAGCGGTCTGAAAGATATACAACAATTCCAATACCTGCATGACCTACTTTGCTCTGATGGAAGCATCATTTTGTGGATTGGTTATAAAATGGTACAAGAATGTGGAAGAATTGGGCGACAAATCGTGAAGCCAAGGGAAAGTGCATGAAGAAACACTAAAAAGGTTAGACTGGTTTTAGAATGACTCAAAAATAGTTGAAACCAGATACAAGAATGTGTTTATCTTTGGTAAGTATCCCTCTATGCAGACAGGATTAAAGATTTCCATCTAAACGCAGTAAAATCTTTTGAAATGACGCAGACGCTTCATCCTGCATTAGTGTTTTGTGTCTTTAATTTAAAATTTACATCCGTACCTTCTTCCCTGCTGAGCCTAAATCCAACACCTCCTGTTCTTTCAGGTCTGTTTTTGGTTCCAACCAATTCCTGTGGGACGTACCGGCTTCTGTGCTGCTAAGTGCGCCGCTACGTTCACCACATAGCAGCTAACTGTGTGGTACTGAGCAAGATGTGCACGGCGCATTCACAGCTCTCACAGCTTCACAGCTTTTTGTCTTCATGCTAACAGCAGATGAAAACACTGTTATGAGAAAACGTGTACGAAACTATAAAATCAACTGTGCTGCTGAACAATGGGCCGAAACTTGTTGTAGAGCTCTGCAGAGCCAACGGAGCTGCACGACGTATTTGGTACATATGAAAATGTGGGTATTCCTTTGACAATAAAATACTATAAATGCTGTGAATAAATGCATTATGTACTATGATATAAATATAAAAGATGTGCAAATACATACCCTTTCTTCAGAGGTAAATAGTGCATTTTTTGTTTTTGCACATTCTAAAAATTGAGTTCTCACACCTTAATGAGCTTGTGCAATTTCCCCTTCACGCTCATCATTAGCAAACTCCAGGTGATGAACATGTATAAGATGCCTTTCTGCCCTCCTCAGACCCTGTCCAAGCAATTATCAGCCATAGGCTCCAATAAGGAGCTGCCAAAGCTCTCTGGCAATTAAAATAATTAACTCTTGCAAAGCAGGAGAAGAGAGTAAAGATGTTTTCAAGTTCAGGTAGACATTTTCTCTGCCTCCGATCAAATTAAAAATTGCAGATAACTTAAACACTGGAGGTGTGCAGTCAAGGAAAAGCAAAAACTGCAAGTCGAGCTGCTAAAACAGCAAAATCAAAACCCCTTTTGACTGCTAAAGACCTTCAGGAATTTTTTGCAGGCTCTGTTGAGGTTAAGCAACGCTCTGCTGTGCAGCTACAGCTGCACAAATACAGTGCACCAACAGAAAAAAATCTTTACTGCATCATCGCCATCAAGTTTATAAATGAACTTTGTTACAAGCCTGATGCATTTTGCAGACAAGTCCTGTGGCCTGATGATAGAATAGAGAGTTTTGCCAGCAATTAGCAATGATTTGTTTAAAAGAGGGAAAGAAAACGCTGCTAAATTGTACGCTTGTACTTGTTTGACCACAGAAGATGGATCATACTCTAGGCTATTGCGGCACCAGAAAGAAGACAGTATTCAAATAAATATCAGTAAATCAAGGAAGCAAAAATGACACGTTGTCAAAAAAAAGCCGCACATAGAATAAAGGGTTTCCAAAAGAATAATAATGATTATAAAACACTTCAAATTCACAATGAACCTCGAGGGGTGCAAACCAAAGGTCTTCCAAGTCCTAAGAATCAGAAATTATAGAGATTCTGTAGACAGACCCAAAAAATATTCAGGCATGAAATATGACAGTAAAAAATCACTTGAAGCCTTTTGCAGGAACAAAAATCCTCCAAAGACCGCAGAGAATTAATTTGCCAGTAACAAAGAAAATTCAGACTCACTTTGATATTTATTTAAAGGTTTGGATCATTTGTTTAAGCAACACATTTGCAATGGTCTCTAGTAGGAATGAATGCCTTGTAAGTCGTACTCAGGGCTTGCTTTAGGAACTAGCAGAAGGCTAGGATTTGGAGTCTTATTTCCTGATATTTGGACATCTTGCCTCTGATTGGATAGCAGCAATGTGACTCTACCACTGACTCTCTTTGCTCTGTAATGTTGATGTTTTATCTTCTGGCATGTGGTGAAGTTGCTAATGTCAACGGTTTGCTTCTACTAGCCGAGACGTTCTCTGTGGTTTCCTGGAGGCTAAACCAACAACAGTCTTCCCCGTCGTGAGTTAAGATGGGTGAGTCCATGAATGTTAAGTGACAGTGTGGCATAGATCTGTCAGGATTTTCAAATCCAAGAGTTTCACTGTCTATTTTCTATGACCTATATTTGTATAGCGTCTTCTTGGGGTCCCCCCCGGGGTCCGGGTCCGGGTGCCCCCCCCCCCCAAGGCGCTTCACAACACAATCACCCATTCACACGCTGATGGGGATGAGCTACGATGTAGCCACAGCTGCTCTGGGGCGCACTGACAGAGGCAAGGCCAGTCGAATATGGGAGCCACCGGTCCATCCGACCACCGCCAGCAAGCAAGGCAGTTTAAGAGTCTTGCCCAAGGACACAACAGCAGCATTCTCCAGTCAGAGCTGGGATTGAACCTGCAACCTTTGGATTACTGGACAACCCGCTCTACCTCAATAGTCCCAATAGTTTTACCAGTTAAAAAAGGGTTTATCAGTGCTCCACACGTTTAAAACGTTGCAAGACATTGATCATTAACTTTTTTTTTTAATGATGAAAATAAAAAATGGGATATTTCGAACACTATTAAAGAAATTTATCATTTGCACTTTAAGCCTTTTAGAGATGCACTTATTTTGCTTTAAAAAGAAAACAAAAATTAAAAAAAACTAAAAGTTGGCCTAATTTTCTGTGCAACACCGTATGTTTCTGGCACTTTGTACATGATTTTGAACAAAATTAGGCAAAACAAAGGGGGAAAAAATGGTGTTGATTCTTCCCACCAGATGGAATATCTGTGCAAGTAGGAGGAAATATTTTTTTCAGTAAAGATTTCAAAGAGTAAGGAATGTTTTAGGTGAAAATCATAACCTGATTATATACTAGCACCCGGTGAGGGACAGGGGGTAATTATCAGGTGGAGTTGCAGGGATGCTGATGGAAACGTAGATCATAAGCAGCAGGATGCAGGCCTCCGGGGCTGGACTGGCTGAAGGTGAGTGGCATGTAGAGTCAGATATTGTTTTCAGATGGACACACACACACACACGCGCACACAAACGCTCCTTTATTGATGGATAGGCAAATATGCATTCTTTGGCCGGAGAGCCCTCACATCAACTGAAACCCAAAACCTCCACTTTCTGCATACCGAAGCAGTTTCCCTCTTTAAGAATTTCAAAAGAACTACTCAGCTTAGTTTCCAAGCAGGAGGTTTAATGTTCAAGGACCTCAGCAAGAGTCACTCCCATATCACCTAAAATGACTAATCTGGTGAAAAAAAGACATCTGCTTGTGGTAGTCAGAAAGCAAGGCCAATTTGTCTTTGTTAGGAAATTATATACCACAAATAAAACAGGAAAAGAGATCAATCACTGTAAAAAAAAAAAGAGTTGGATGGAGAAATAATACAAATCCAAAATTGAAAAAGAAGCCATCTGATAAAATACCTGGCACACGATCATGTGATTCCATGTTACTTTGTCTCCCCGTTCAAAGGGAATAAAAAGCAAATGATCATAATTAATGCAGCCACACATCAACATCATGATGGGCATATAACTGACGGGAGTGTTCAGTCACAACACGTGTAATTATAGCTAAACGTACTAATCAAAAGGAAGGGAGGGGACAGGAAACAAATTTAAACCGAGCCCCGTTATTTCCAAGTTCCTCGTTCCACTCAACAGCTTGTGATGGTTCTAGGTACACAGGCTGCCCAGATCAAATTTGTCAAGGCGATAATAACAAATTCATAAATTCTCAGCAAATTCGGAACATCTGAGTTCACTTAAAGAAATATTAATACTGAGGAAGAGAAAATGTCTCATTTTGAAGGGGAAAGTCTCGTCACCATGGAAGCACAGATGCATGTTTCAGTCCAAACCTGGCCAGGAATATTCATTCACCTCTGCCTCAACTTTTCACAAAAGTAAAACTAAAGAACTTGGCAACTTTTTCATGTGGTGGCTCTTCACTTCTCAGAAATGGCCACAACAACACGTACAAAGAAATTCAACAAGTTCTTCAGCGGAATAATAAATAGCTCTTTGAAAGGTTGCCTAGAATCTCATTAACACTACTTTCTGTCGTGAAACCTCGTGGGCACTCACCTTGTGAGCAGTGTAAGCAAAGGAGAAGAAGCAGGAGGCAAGGAAAGGCCGGACACCTCCACAGTGCTGAGGCCATGGTGTTGCTGTGGTTCTGGAGGCTGGTAACAGCGCTTCAAGGTGTTGCAGTAGGAGGACGGAAAGCCAGAATTATTTCAGCGATCTGCCGTTTTCATACGGAGGTCGCCAAACATTTTCGTCATCTGGAAAAAAAAAAAAAAAAAAGAAGACAAAAATGCTTGAGACTGGAGTAGATTAGAAGAATCTTATAATCACCATCGCCAATCGGCTTGTTTACTTTGCTGCATCTGTATTCTATGTCCGACACGATGCAAGAATTCATGTGTGAATTACTTTTGACAAGCAGTCAAACAAATGTCTGAACAACACGAGCACAAAATTCTTAACTGTGGTTTGGTTGAGTAAACAAAAGCCCTTTTCTTGGTGCAGGATTCTCGGAAATATCTAGACCTTTGCTCCTGCGTGCTTTTGAGGCCTCCAACGTAAAACCAAAGCACCCCGGCGTGCCTGGTTCTCGCCACTTACTTAACACTCTGCTGCACGTTACAACAGAATGTTTACACAGCCTCCTTCTCCTACTTCTCTCCGCTCCATCTTCCGCATTTACTCCCAGATCACCGCGGGAGGAAGCTCGTCACCGCAGCAACACGTTTTTACAGGACGCCATAAGAGACACGGCTGCTTTGAGAGCTACTTTTGTCTCCTGTCTTATCAAGGGGCGGCAAAAAACAGTCCTTTGTCTGCACACACAGCGAAAGGTTAGAGCCTGAGACAGACTAACGCACATGACAGATAAGCTGCTTACCAAAGTCAAACACTGAGGAGGGATGTGCTGTGTGTCAAACATGAAATGCCACACACACACACACACACACACACACACACACACATACATGCATGCCTGCACAAACGTACAGTAAAGGACCCTCCTCCTGAGGTTGATACACATTTAGACACAACATCTGTGTTCACACATGCAGAAACACACACTAAAACACCAGTAATCTTCTTTTTTTCTCCTGTGGTTGTCATCAAGCCTCTACACACAATAACACACACTCTCACACATGCACACACACACACACACACACACACACACACACACACACACACACACACACACACACACACACACACACACACACACACACACACACACACACACACACACACGCACAGGTCACCATGCAGAAGAAGGTAAATGTTTCCCGTTGCTGAACGCCGCCACCCGTCAACCGTCCTGATTATTTTATAATGGACCCGAATTTGAGCAGCAGAGCAGTCGCCTCTGATCACTCTCTGGGTCTCGCTAACACACTTGGATATTTTTGGCAACATAAAAAACCCCACAAAACATGGGGAGCTTTCACATTAGCATACTGAGACATTATTCAAGCAGCTATTAGGTTCATTTTATACGTGACCAGAACCTGGTAGTGGTGGAAGAAAAGCTCGACAAAGCCTGTTGAAGCCTGAGAGTGTTTATTTTTATTTGAGGTTACCCTGACCAAGGAAGGAAGCGCACGTGCACATGTGCACACTCATACACACAGGTGACTTGTAATTCGCCAGTGAAACTTGGGTGGCTTCATAAGAATTGTGCTTTTTATTTTTCTTGCCGTTGTTTATCAGACGGTGGCGCCGAGGCAGATCAGATAAGAACAAAGTGCAGTGGGTTTGTGCTCCTGCTTGGGAAGTCTCACACCGAGTCTACAGAGGAGGCTCAGTCTACCCATTCCACTGCTACCAGTTCAGTGTTAGAGAGCCTCAAATCTCCAGAGACACACAGGACTTCATCAGCAGCCACTACGGAGGCTGACAAAAGGGGATTGGAAACTCTAGGGGGGAGGTTCACCAGCCTTTCTGGTACACCAGGGGGCGAGAGCCTGCCCAGCCTCGTGGATGAAGGCATGCCCCGTTTCACCCTAGGGTTCTTTCTCCTGATGGGCTGTCACCCTGCTGACTAACATTTCCCCTTTCTGGCTTAAGCTGGTAGAGGACACCGCCGTGCCCATCTCCCTACGACATAGAAAGGGTGGTTTTGTTTGGTGGGATTTCTTCTCTGAATCAGTCCAGACTTGACATAAACGGATTAGGCGATTAACATGAAGATGCTTTACACAAGCAGTGACGGACGCATCATGCTTTCACATCAACGGATGGCAGGGGGGGGGGGGGGTTGCTGGTTAAACAAAAAAGCGCTTCTACAGATTCTAAGCAGAAAATTATTTGAAAGAGGCGAAGCAGGCATTATTAACTCTTTAGATGTTTCACTGATAAATTATCCACACTGAGCTGCTGTAAAGGCTTTAAATTAAAGGGTTTATTTGTTGTTTCTGGGACAGCAAATCCTGAATAATGATCCCTGCGTTCAGCTGAGGCAGATGTTTTCATTTTTATGACTTCCTGTCACCACCTACATCATAAAGTACAACTATTTTTACTTTTAATGAGCTCAAACGTGTAACACACACTTGGAGACAGTAGATAAAAGGGATCTGTTTCCATCTGTGCATTGAGCTCCTTTCCCTAAAATCAGACGAGGATACACATTATATTCCCGGAGGTTTCCTCTCCATTAACCGTGTGTCTTCCTGGAAACCGGCCGAAAGCCCCACCAACGAAATGAAAAACGATTCGCAAACATTCATGACATCTGTTTTCTTTTGTCTCTCATGCAGACGATGGTGAAACCCAAGGAGAGAGATCAATCACCGGTTAAGATAATGGAGAAAATCACAGTCCACGGCTAATTTTTCACGTCGGCATGAGAGAAATAATAAGCAAGCATTTAAAAAAGGACGGCGAGCAATTAAAGCATAATTAAAATAAATGGACAGGAGGAGACAGCCCACATGTCTTAACATGAAAAATACAGGGCCGCCTGCAACAGCCGGCTGAATGAATGCGAGGCTCCTTCGACAAAGCTTGTGTATGCCTCACTCAAGCTGGAGAGGCGGCCGGTGAAAAAGAGAGTGGGAGGATGGGGGGGGTAAGAGTTTGGGAGTTTCTAAGCCGGGGGGGACTAAATAGATGGGAGAGGGGGGAGCGTAGCAGGAGAAGAATGGAAGGGGGAGAAAGAAAGGGGCGGTGGGGTCACCAAGGAGGATTGACAGGCTGTGAGTACGGCCTGACCTCCCGGGTTTGCCTCCAAGTTTCCTCCACCGGCTTAGAGAAGACCAAAATAAAGCCCAGGAATGTTACTTTATTTTCAATTGTCAGCACCGAGAGGAGAGCGTTAAAGAGTGCATACATACATATCAAGTAAGACTGGAACAAAACTAATGTGCAAGTCTAAGTGTAAGCCCAAAACCTACAACCGAAATAGAGACGTGGGCTCGGCGGAGCTGGGTCTTCCCAACACAATGATTGGTCTTCCACTCTGTGAATAACTGCTAATTTGGAGAACTTTCTGCCCCCCTCCCCATGCCCTACATTCAGAAGCAAAGACAAGAGAGAGCAACTTTAAGCAACAGAAAATGGTTGATGGTGTAGAAGTAGGGAACAATTACACCAGAAATACTGCCTAGAGACACTTTCTTTCTGTCCTTAGTGCACCCTGATGTCCGAAGAGAACTCTTTTTTTTTCTCATGAAAGTCCTGTCAGAGTTTCGCTTTCGACCCCTGCAGGGGCTTCAGCAGTGATGAAGAGAAGTCGCCCCAACAGCCAGAAAGAGGGATGCACCTTCAGCATGTGCTGGCTGCCAAGTGTGCTTTATCAACACTTGGCTGATAAGATAAGACACCACCATTAGGATTAACAGGCAGTTAACTCTGGATTACAGCTACTCACGGTAGAACAATAAAACACGCCGAGTTCAACTGGAACTCAATCATTTCGTAGATCCGGTTCTAAATTTACATGTGAGAGTTTCCTTAACTCATTCACTGCCAGCCGTTTCCTGATCACTAACGGCCTTCACTGCCAGCGTTTCTCATCGTTTTTACTGTTTTTTAAGAGTCACAGAACGTTGTGCGCTAGCATGATGTCGATGCCAAAACAACCAAAACAAAGAGGAGACTCACCTCTTACATCAGGAAGAGTCTGCGTGTTTCGAGTGTTATCCGTTCTTTCATAATCCGTTGTCGAATTGTGATCGGCAGATGCTTTTCCGGTTCGCGCCTCACTTTTTTTACAGGAACGGCCCAAAACGATCTCCAAACACATGGATGTGTTGCTTCCTGATCATGTGATCTGTGACGTATACGGATGAAGATCGGCTTCAGGACTGAGATGTTTGTTCTCTCAGCGCGGGGGCTCGTTCCGATGCTCAAACAGTAAAAAAATGCACATGACGACTTTAGTCGTCATTGGCAGTGAATGAGTTAAGCTTTGCAATGCATTTACTTAATGAATGTAAATTATTTTACATTTAAACGTAAAATTCTCCTTTCACTTGGGTTAATGTCAGAAAGAAATCAGTTTTAAAGCGACGCAACTGCAACTTAAAATAAAAAACTACATGTCAAAGAAGCGAAACTAAACCAGGCCCAGCATGAGCACTTAGAACTTAAAGTAAATATTTTCTGTGTGACCTTATCTGTCCCTCAGATCACTGTGGAGGAATTCTGGCCCACTACTTTTAACAATGTTGCTTCAGTTCACTGGAGCCCCCAGGCACTCATTTATGCACAGCTTTAGTAAGATCTCAGAACAGCATTTTAATCAAGTCGAGGTCTGGACGCTGACTGGATCACTGTAACAACATGATTCTTTTTTTCCCTTTTCAGCCTTTCTGCTGTAGATTTGCTGCTGTGTTTGAGATCACTCTCCCATGGCACGACCTCCTGTCCGTCCAAGCTTTTTCCGTGTCGGACAGATGGCTTCACGTTTGACTCTCGAACGCTTTGGTATACAGAGGAGTGTTCACGTTCGACTCAGTCACTGCACGGTGCCCAGGTTTTTTGGCTGCAACACAAGGTCAAATCAACTCTGCTGTGCGTGACAGCTGGTTGATGTGTAAATAACATTCTGTTTGGTTTCTTCCAATTTGTTCTCATTCGTTCAAAGGAAGTTGCTCATGACATCTTGTGGTTTGTGTTGATGTGAAAAGAAAAACTCAAGTCAATCTTCTTTCATTGGCAACCCTTCCAAACAATAATTACTTTTAACAAATGTTAACATCTAATAGTCTGAGAGGTAACTTTTCTATTTGACCTTGCTATGAACTCCTTGGCGTCT